TAAATTTGATATATATATTTATATATACACATACATTGAGTTTGTTTCAGTATTGTTTTTGCTTTACCCCTTGTTGCTGAGATGCAAGTCTGTAACATATAGTGCGAGTATAAATGTATGTGGGAATTGAGAGGATGTATAGACATTTGTTTTGTCAATTGCAAATGGAACTGGAAGAGTCATTGTTGAGAATTCTCCTGGCATAGTGCTAATAATGGAGTATATCAAAATGGCTCAATTAAATTCTCGTGTTTCTATTAGTGAAGTTTCTAGAAAAAAAATATATCAAACGACGCAATGCACCTTGGGACGCTACAGAAACAGCTTCCTTGTATAATTACAAGGGTAAAGTCTGCGTACAATTGACGTCCCAATTGGGAATATATGTTGTATAGACAATTTGTTTGGTACGGTTGAGGTATGTTGTTGTATAGACAATTTGTTTGGTACGGTTGAATGTAGGAATAGAGAGAGTTGCAGAAAATATGATGATCTTTGATGCGTTCAAAATTAATCCGACTTTTGTTGATCTTGATATTACGTATTTTGATCTACAACTACTCGACTAAAGATAACAAAATGGAAAAATAAAAGAGGAAAAAAAAAAGGAATATAGGATTCCTTTACATCATGCGAACTGCTGCTACAAATTTAAATTTCAACTCTATCCAATTAGAATAATGTTACTTGTACCTTTTGTGTATCACTTAGTTTACATGCACGTACCTTTGGATGTAAACCAAGTGGTACACCAAAATGTAGCATGATCCATCCAACTAATTGTAAACAAATAACAAGTGCCCAAATTGTTTTCTCTCCTTTTTCTCTCTCTAAAAACTCGGTTCCCTGATTATCAGAAAACCTAGCCCCACCTAATCCCATCAGCCTCCTCCTTGGCGGGGGCTCTGCACCGCCGTGCGGCTCGCCGTCCTGCTTCCCGTCGAATAGTGGTCTCTCAGACGGTTGGAGTATCATCGAAATACGGCTTCGTCTCCGAGCGGGATCTCGGTTCGCGGTGGCTCCGACTTTCGACGGGGTTGCTGGAGTATCATCGAAATACGGCTTCGTCTCCGAGTTGGGACTGAGATCTTTTATATCCATAGGCTGGCTTAATCTCCAGATATTGCCCACTGCTCGCTTAATCCCCAATCCAACTGGTTTTGCGATCACCTATTACTTTTCCGAACAAGCTTCTTTGACACTCATCTGCACTGATTTTGATATCATCTCGACGAAGATCAATGAAGGCATTCTCTTTTTCTGATAATGAGACATTCTAAAGTTTTTGGGAAAGTTCCTCATCTTGACCCACACAGTTTGGGGTTCCCATGGTAACCCTAATTTGATAGGAGAACACAAAGAACTCGAAGCGAAGTCACTAGGCTCCAAAATAAAAGCAAGAGAAGTATGATGACAGAAGGGATTGAAGGAGGAAGAGAATAGTAGGTGGACGGTGGTAAACGGCGGCTGAAAAACAAGCTCCCCGGCGAGAGAATATGGTGCGCTCCCCTGCGAGAGAATTTTTCGACATGCAAGTTTGAAAACTTTCTAGATTTGTTAAAAATGTATAAAATCAAGTATAGAACTTTTTGGGTCATATGTCTTATTATAAATCAATTAATTGTATATCTCTATCTTCAACAATCAATCGTTCATATTATTACACAATTCATTTTACAGGTTAATTTGAAAAATAATGTTTCTATATTTGTGGTTGTTATGAGAACAAACAATATCGATTTCATGTTTTTTTTACTTAGAGGTATTAATAAACTTACAAAATTAAATAAATATTACTGAAAAAAATTTATTATTGATAGGATACTTATGGTCAAATAAACTCATGTCATTGAGAAAAT